TCCTATTAAACCTTAAATCTAAACTTAAATAAATACGAATACATTGTCATTATAAATGTTTTGTGAGGCGGGTCATATAATCAAGGATTTATAGTTCATTTAGGTACCTGACCTAAATAAATGGTCGAATGTTTAAAATAAACATGAAATGAACCAAGAAATAAACCAATGAGTGGAAAACAAGGGACACCGCCGCGCGCCGTCGCGTCGGTCGCTTGGCTACGGCAGTGCACTGGGTGCAGTGTTGCCAATGACCCGATAATTATCGAAATCTACCATAATTTTGACTACGATTCAATATTCAATAATCACAAGCTAAATCTACCATAAATTATTGAAACTACAATTTCAATGCATATTTTTAAAATTTTTAGTTGAAAATTAAAAATTTATTTGGTTGGTGGTTTTGACGTACTGCTGGGCGCACACCAAACATTTACCAGCTAGAAATGAGTTGAGCTCGCAGCACCGTTTCTTTTTCGTTAATTTTTTCGTTAGAAAAATATAAATAGAGATTAGAGATGAAAGTCAAAAAAATTGACACAAACTTCTTCTGATAATTTTGAATTTGACATCTGGCAACACTGGCAGGGCTCATCATTTTGATATGACGCCTCGCTTGAGTTGTTCCTGTTTGATTTTGCCTTTTTCTCTTGTGTTTGTAGCTCGTTTGTAGTCTGTTTGTAGAGTGGTGTGAGGTTTTGTTTTCTTCTATTTTTGTTTTTTTTGCCAAATCAAGTGACGCGAGAACCATTTTGTATTGATTGCAGCAACGCCGAAACTGTGGTTTTAAAGTATTTAGCTTGGCGGCTTCGCGGCTTGGCTATACCAATTTACTATGTATTTTGTGTGTATAATAATACTTTTAACCAAGATTATTACTGTGTGAAACTTTTTCTGGTTTATGCCCCTTTACAATTCTCTATATTATTATGTTTGTAGAATACCTATCTATTTCTGTATATTTTTTTTAGGTTGGAATTTTTCTTCACTTTTCCTTCATTTTTTTTGTTATATTAGGTAGGTATGTACTGTTGTTTAATAAGGTTAAGTTTAAGAGTATGTTATATTTGATATTGTGTTTTTTTTTTCAGTTTTTTAGTGTTATTGTTAAGGCATTTATTGAGTACCTATGAAAATTGTAACTTGAAAATACAATACATATTTATATGGTTTTATTTTTCACTTTAAAGATAGGTACCTACACATAAATACGTACCTCGTACCTCTATGTTTAGGGTTTTCTCCATATATTTTTGCACCCCATCTGGACAGGTTAATTAAATAAGTTAATTTTTGATACCTATTCACAGAAAGGTGTAAATACAACATTTGTATTTACATATTTTTAATACTTATTCAATCAACCAGTTCTGGTAAGGTGCAAAAAAATATATGGGAAAACCCTGTACGTCCCAAACACATTCCTAAAAAGCTATACTAAATACGTACGTTAATGTACGTCCCCAACACGTACCTAAAAAGCCGTACTGAGTACGTCCCTGAATGTACGTACGTGGGACGTACTATTTTGTGGAAAACGACCGTCTTAAAGACGTCCCTCGTACGTCGGCGGGACCTAAAAAGTACGTCCGGGGACGTACTTTCGTCCGAAAAAGTACGAATTATGGACGTACTAAAGACGTACTTGTGTTTGTTGGGGTGTAGACAAATGCTCACGTGAACAATTCGAATTGTCTACGCGTAGACAATCAATTGTTTACGTTGACATTGTCTACAAGGCACATCACTGATAGACTATCTGCATATGGCCTCTGTAGATCAAATCTCAAGCACCCACCACGCCAAAGTACCAGTGATGACGTAGACAGCGTGTCGTTCCTCGCCTTGACGTAGGGTGTTTGCAGCACAGGCTATGAGTCCGCTGACTTTTGCTTTATGCATACTTGGTTCTACTACATAAATTAACATTCTAAAACAACTATTTTTTAGATCTCGTTTGCATCTTCCTATTCGTCTATTATGTTATTCAAAATTAAATAATATTTTTCATCATAAATGTATATTTTAAACTACGACCGCTGGCGCAAACAGTTACCGACACCGTTGATGACGTCGGCAACGGTGCAACACCATATAACCTTCATTCCAAAAATCGTGTCCGATGAGCAATCCTGTAGTACAGTCTAATTTTCCCCAAGATAAATTTTGACAATGACAACTTTGAAACATAAACATTGCCACTTATTGGTCGCAAGATGCCGTGTACCTGCATTCGACGAAGGTATCGTTTTCCAACCATGTAAAAGGATACCTCACCTGCAAGGACACGGCATTTTGCGACCAATCAGAGCCACGCGGTATTGTTTATGTTTCAAAGTTGACAATGTCAAAATCTATTTTTTTTGTAAAATGCGATTTTTTTTTGTTAAATTCGTTTTTTTTTGTTAAATGCGGTTTTACCCGGAGAAAACACCTAGTGATCCGGAGCCCGGAGACCATATGTGAAAACCCGTAGACTCCGGGTGAAACCCGGAGAGGTGGCAACCCTATGCTAACTTCGTTCTGAACGCAACTGATACAAAGTGATCATAAAAATTCTTTGATCAGTTCGATCACTTCGTGGCATTTTGACGTTTATTTGAACTTTTCTAGGTTAAGAAAACACAACACAAACCGAAATTACCATATATACAGAGAAATTATTGTTAGTTTGGGTTTATTTTTTCAATTAATTGCTGTATGGGGATAAACACTGCCACTCTGTTTATGTTTTGTTTTGAAATACAAAAAAGCTAGGTCAAGTCTTGTGGTCTTGGCTCATGCGAATGTTATCACTAATCAGTTCCTGTTCTTTTAAGTACAAGTGATCAGGATCAGTTGCAAGTGATCAAAGTGAAAGTGATAATAATTGTTAGAAAGAATACACCTATAGTGTTGCCAAATTCCGTCTAGTTTATGGAATACAGGGTGATTTCTGAGAAACGCCTAAAAATATTTCATCAATTATTTCTAAAACTATTGATTTCCGAGACACAATTAAATTTGGAAGTTCTGTAATTTGTTTCGCTCTACAACATGGCATCTTAAAATTACCGACGTTTCGAGATCGAGCTACCATCATCAACTTCATTTTTTTAAATACGGACCTGATTTTTTTGATGAAATACACGCTTTATTTCATAAACTGAAAGGAATTTGGCAACACTGTAAACGAGTCTTGAATGGGCATCAAAAAAGGCAACTTTTTCCTGGTTTAACCGACCTTTGTAGGTCTCACCGTTTCGGATATAGCAAATAGCAATAGTGGTATCACTTAAAATATACACCCTGTACAGGTTTGAATTATTTGAGGAAATGCTCAGTAGTACCAAATTCTGATCTGTGTGCTTTGGGTACGTTAGCATGAGCGGATAATTACAGCATCAATAAATGTAACGAATGCTCAGTGTCAAGTCCAAATGTTACCTGAAATAATCAGTTTCCTGAAATATCGAGCACTTATTAATGTAAAATGCAAACTTTTATTAATAGTGAACGTAAATTATCGAGCATTTATAATACATACCTATATTTTATTGGTGCACATTTCATTAATATACCGAACATAATTTAGCGTTCAAACTGTATATTTCATATTGTGATTTCATAATACATATAAGGCATTTCTTATTATTTTATACTGCAATTTCAATTTCTTTATCGAGCATTTAGTATTTTTTAAATCTGCAAATTGAAATTAATTACCGTATCCTAATTACAAACAAATAAGAAATAAAGGGTAGGTACATATACAGGGTGTAACAGGGTAGAGTTGATTTAAAACCAATCAATATAAAAATAATCGGAGTATTTTTATACTTAAAGTCTATAATATTTTCATACTGTGGCGCTTTCGCCAGCAAGTACAGAATCAAACTTGAAATCTAGAAAATTCTGCCTTATTCAGGATAAGAGAATATCGCGTTTATTCTGGATTCAACAGGAAATGGATTACGAATAAAGGCCTGTATCAGTTAGTAGCTTTTAGTTTGAGATTGGCTGTGATACGTTTTAGATTTTGGAATAAACGAACCCAAGATTTCTGTCACGCAAGCCAGAGCCGTGACAATACTTTATTAGGTGCGTCACCATCGTGACTGTAAAATCAATTCAATTCAAATTCAAAAAACAAAAACTTTTTTGAGTTAAACGATTTTATGAAAAAATTCCACTTTTTATATCGAAGTTAAAAATATACAGGGTGTTGAAGAATCTTTATTAAATTTATGTTAGCGTGTAATTAATTATTAATTAACGTTGGTTTAACTAAAGTTGGCATCTTATCGTTGGTGATAATATTTTTGAATTTGAAGATTATTATTCGCGCGCATAGCATTCATTATTTTTGATAATATGCACAGGTTTGAATGGTAAAACTCATATACGTCACTAGCGCAAAAACCTGTACCTTTTTGGTACTACATACGGGTCCTAAAAATAGTAAAATCATTGCGATTGAACCCGTCCGACAGCGAACCAGAAAACTACCGTCGCGTATGAAGGCGTGCATCTTTTCTTGCCTTTATCTTTCGTTATTAACTTTAATTTGTGGTGACAAAATAACTTTCGGCTTTCGGATTTTCGAAATTACTGAAAAAACTTTACTAACTCAACTATTGTGCTGGGTGGATTGAGCAACCCAAAGGAAGTGATCAGAGGGCCGTCTTATTCAAGAATCTAGTCTGCGTGAAAATAAAATCAACATTTTATTGATTTATTTTTGGTCGATTTAATTTTATTTAAATAAGGGTTCTTCAATTGTCTCAATATTTTCGATTTTTTTAGGTAAAACTCTTAACAATTTCATTCAGTTTTGCATAATAATTATTACATCAATCTATTATTCTTTATTGTTTGAGTACCTACTAAATACACGCATAGGCTATTTGGCCGGTGTTTACATTTTCATATCATTATTATCTCATATAGGATATTATTATTTTTTTTTTTCAGTTAAAAGATAATTATTATTAAAATTGCCCACTGTTCTTAAAATTATGGCGGACAAATTAACAAAAGCAATTTTAAAGCGCACCATAGCACTTAATCGCTTGAAGGAATCCTTTGTAATTGGAAGGAACGCTTCAACTGATGAAGCTTTTAAATCCTCATTTTTAGCTAGAGCCAATGAAATTGATGGAATCTATGGTGACTTTCAAAGTGCTCATAATAATATCATATCATCAATAACTGAGGAAGAATTCAAAGATCACGATATATTGCGGATTTCGGCGGATAGTGCCTACTATGGGGTAAAATCTATAAAAAATGATTTGATGATAAATGATTCGATCTCCGCGGCTAATACTAGTTTGCAAAATGCATCGGCAACCACCTCTTCCAGGATGATTCCAAAACTTAACTTGCCAGTTTTTGATGGCAATTATAAGAACTGGCCGAGTTTTTTTGACTTGTACAACAGTATTATTCACAATAATTCTGATTTTTCGAATGTTGAAAAATTTCAATATCTGTTGCGTCGGTAGTCAACGAACCTTTAGCAATAGTAAAGGGACTGCCACTTACAGACAATAATTATCAAATCGCGTATGATTTATTAGAAAAAGGTATCAGAATAAGCGCATATTAGCTACACAATATTATAATGAAATTTACCATGCCCCTTGCGTCCAAAGACCTACTTCTAAGGAACTTCGATCTTTAGTGAATGTTTTTACGGAAAATGTAGCTGCTTTTCGCGGATTGCAATTGCCTGTCGATCAATGGGATTTTTTATTGTTCAATTTGCTTCTAAACAAATTAGATTCAAAAACCCGGACGGAATTTGAACTGGATAATAGTTTAAGTCCGGCTTTACCTACCTATCGACAGCTTATTACCTTTCTGGAAAGGCAATGCATCGCTCTAGAATCCATACAGTACTCCTCGTCCATGTTTCTAGATAAAATTAAACCCAAACCACCTAATCCTCCAACAAACCACTTTAAACGGCCGACAAACAATTTTCACGTTGCTCCGCAAGTTGTGAATTCTTCAAGCGCATCCAGATGTCTTGAATGTACAGAGGCCCATCCTTTGTATAAATGTCCTCGTTTCCTAAATAAAAGTCCACAAGACAGATGTTCTGCACTTTAATAAAAATGATAATTTTAATCTGGCACCTACATCTATTCCTAAGGTACCAATTATATCGAAAAATGACCCAAATCAATCTTTTCAATCTATTATAAATACTCATTGTAATACAAACGCATTAGCTGTGCCACAGCACACCATTTTGTTGTCTACTTGTGAAGTGGAAATAAAGGATGCTCGAGGAAATTTTCAGAAAATTCGAGCACTCCTGGATACTGGATCTATGGCTAACTTTGTTTCAGAACAGTGTGTGCGCCGACTAGGACTGCATCGTACCAAATTTATTGTTCCTGTGGAAGGTCTCAACGGAATGTCTACGACTACATCTGGTGGGCTTACCCAATGCGTTATAAAACCTTGTGGCCAACCAAGCCTAAGCTTTCCACTTGAAGCCATTATTATTCCTTCAGTCTGTTCTAATCAGCCCAAATTAACAATCAATCGAGCCGATCTAGAGCACATTTACAATCTTAAACTTGCTGACTCTAGGTTTGACATTCCCGGACCTATTGACATGTTGATAGGTGCGGAGCTAGTTCCGTTCTTCTTAAAATCTGGTAGCATTTTCGGCAAGCCAGACCAGCCAATAGCCTTAGAGACAGTCTTTGTTTATGTCCTTCAAGGAAAGGCCACTGGCCTATTTTCTTCAATCTCCTTAGAACCTCCCGTGTCTCTTCAGGCTTCCGTTAGCCATAATATTGAATTTCAACTAGAGAAATTTTGGGAAGTTGAACAAATTTCAAAACCTCCCATTTTATCTGAAGAAGATAAACGGTGCGAAAAACTGTATTCCACTTCGACTGTTCGAGATTCTTCAGGCCGGTTTTCGGTACCTCTACCGTTTCGTCACTCCATGCCCATTTTTCTCGATACTTATTCTTTAGCGCATCGACGATATTTGATGCTGGAAAGACGATTCTCAAAGAATGAGGAGCTCTATAAAAAATATTGCGAATTTATGCAGGACTATCTTCTTAGCGGTCATATGTCTTTAGTATCACAAAACGAATATCGATCAGCTACCGCTTATTATATTGCTCATCATTCCGTTTTTAAGGAACAAATTTGTGGTTCTATAACTACCTCGAAAATAAGAGTAGTTTTCGATGCCAGTATGCGCGATCTTAAAGGACTCTCGCTAAATGACACTCTCCTTGTAGGTCCTAAACTCCAACTCAATATTTCCCAGCTATTACTGTCATTTCGTTTTTACGCGTATGTATTTATCTGCGATATTAAACAAATGTACCGACAGATTACTGTGCAACCAGAATTCTGGAATTATCAGCGCATTTTATGGCGTTTCACTTCTTCTGAGCCACTTCAAGAATACTTCTTGAAATCGGTCACATATGGAGTCTCTTGTTCACCATTTTTAGCTCTTCGAACCCTTCGAGAACTTGCACAACAAGAGAAACTCAATTTTCCAAAAGCTGCTGAAGCTGTCCTCACTAGGTTCTACATTGATGACGGGTTGATCGGTACACAAGATTTAGAGTCGGCTATATCATTACAAGCTGAACTTATTGTACTCTTCAAAAAGGGTGGCTTGGAGCTGGGAAAGTGGGCAAGCAATCATCCAGACCTTCTTGCCCAAATACCATTTTCAGAAATACAACAATCATGTACCTTTGACAAGGACGAACCTTTCTTTATTAAGGTTTTAGGTTTAAAATGGGACCCTACGTCAGATAAGTTTTCGTACAGCTACAGTCCCCTAGAAAGGCCTTGCTCAAAGCGTCACATCTTATCCGAAATTAGTCGAATATTTGATCCTTTGGGATTCGTATCCCCATGTCTCTTATTAGCGAAACGTCTGTTACAGCTTCTATGGGAATCTCAAGTTTCATGGGATGAAATCCCATCAGAAGACATTGTTACGACATGGACTAAGTTCAAATCCGAACTGCCTGATTTAGCACGTATCCAGATACCTCGATACATCGGAGCTGCCTCTATCGTACGCATTGAATTGCACGGCTTCTGCGATGCCTCCCAAGTCGGCTACGCCAGTGTTGTATATTTTCGAATCCTGGATACTTCAGTTTGGTCAAATCTTTTTTGGTTTGTGCTAAATGTCGTGTTTCACCGCTAAAAACCCAGTCGATTGCTCGTCTAGAGTTGTTGGCGGCCTGCCTACTGGCGAACTTAATTTCGTTCGTTAAAGAAAGTTACGCGAATTTGATTTTATTTGACGCCATTCACGCATGGAGCGACTCCATGGTTGTTTTAGCCTGGATATCGGCCTACTCGCACAAATGGAAAACGTTTGTCGCGAATCGAGTAAGCCATGTGCAAGAACTTATTCCTAAGTCGTCCTGGAAATACGTTCCATCAGCTCAAAATCCAGCTGATTGTGCCAGTCGGGGCCAGACCCCGGCCGAGCTCCTAGAAACGCCCATTTGGTGGTCTGGTCCTGAGTTTTTGTCTCATTCTCAAGACCGTTGGCCCATCCAACCCGATTTTCTATCCAGTCCTAACATTGATGTTTCTGCGGAAGAACAAAAAACTGCTCTACAGGTTTCAATTCTTTCCTATAACTTTATTCTGTCCCTATTAGACAAATATTCTTCGCTACAAAAGATAAAAAGAATAGTCGCTTACGTTCGCCGTTTTGTTCTGAATTCAAAGACAACGTCTAAAGTTTTTCTACCCTTGTCTGGTATTGAACTCGAAGCTGCGCTTAAAGCTATCGTCAGGACTGTTCAACAACATGCTTTTGCTGATATTTTTCAAAAAATTCAACAAGATACTTTGCTTCCTAAGCCATTTAGAAAATTAGCGGTATTCAAGGACGATGAGGGTGCGCTAAGAGTTGGTGGCCGGCTTCGAAATTCTAATCTCGCTTAAGCATCCCTTATTATTACCTAAATCTAGCCGATTGACAGGTTTAGTTATCGAATTTGTCCACGCTAATTACTTTCATCCGGGCCTTAAAACCATGCAATATTTGTTATTGCAGCAATTTTGGATTTTGTCTCCCAGGAGCGTCATATATCGGTGTCTTTCTAAATGTCTACGGTGCTTTCGGTGCAAACCAAAATCATACAACCCTTACATGGGCGATTTACCAGCCTTAAGAGTTGCACAGCTTAAGGCTTTCTCATCTGTGTGTGTAGACTTCGCTGGTCCATTCTCTTTGATTATGAACAAACATCGTGGAGCCAAGACATTCAAGGGTTACGTGAGCGTATTTGTTTGCACAGTAACCAAGGCAATTCATTTAGAATTAACCTCTGACCTTAGTTCTGAAACATTTTTTGCTGCTCTAAGGCGTTTTATTGCCCGTAGAGGCAATTGTCTCACTATTACAAGTGATCAAGGCACTAACTTCAAGGGTGCCTATAATCAACTTATTGACTTGGCTCGAAGTGCGGCTCAGCAATTATCGTTAACGTGAAACTTCAATTCCCCTGGAGCTCCGCATTTTAATGGTTTAGCCGAAGCAGGTGTGAAATCGTTCAAGAGTCACCTTTATCGTGTTATGGGGACTCAGATTTTGTCCTACGAAGAATTAAATACATTATTAATTCAGCTCGAAGCATTCCTAAACTCTCGGCCTTTGTGCCCGGTTAGCAGTGATCCGAACGACTTGCACCCGTTAACTCCAGGGCATTTTCTGGTGTTGGAGCCTTTAAATAGCCCTATTCCTGACCCTGACTTAATGGGGGTGTGCGCCAAAAAAACAACTTCATCTCAAAAAAAACAGAAAAAAAATCTAAGAATAACAGTGAAATCCGCACCCCTCTATGACAAATAATACCGCAGATATGGCTCTATGAAGGTACCGCATCTCACCCTATGACGTCACGAAAGCTCAAGCGACGCACGAGAAAGTGGATTAAATTAAATTTACATAATGTTTTTCCTGTGTTACCTGCAATAATCTAAACAAAAACCACTCACTTGTGCCGGGAACAATCAAATTAACAATGCAGACGCTGGACGAAGTTTTCGTGACGTCACGAGAACGTCGTCCACACTTTAAAGCGGTATATCTCAGCGATGGTTTATCGTAGAATAACGAGGTTTGAACAGTTATTCTTAGATTTTTTTGCACTAAAACTTTAATTTTTGGCGCACACCCCCTTTAAACCACGTACCCTTGAATCGGTTATCTCGCTGGCAACTGATTCAACGAATGGAGGCAGATTTT